AACTGGGAGTGAGCTGCCTTTCCTAGGTACTTCCATGGTTCCTGAGCCCGTGTCTATGTGACCTCTATTGCTACTGGTTATAGTGAGCCCTGATTAGTTGGCTTCATGTTGCTACAGTGAAATACTTGGGGCAATCAACGTTATAAAGAGAAAAGGATTATTTAGCTGTTGTGACCTCTGCAGAGAAATGGCTCCATAGCTGAAAGGTGGGAGGCCCATGCTTGTTTCCCAGTCATTCTCCACTTGGCTAAGGTTCAGGGAAGGGAGATGGAGAGGGAGAGTGGATGGGGCAGGGACACTGAATAGCTTCTCCCTTCCATGTCTTCTTTACTTTTCATCACTGGAACAAAATACCCACCACCTTCAGCCTAAGGAAGGAGAGATTCATTTTGGTTCACATTTCAATTCATAGATAGCTGGCTCAAAGACAGGATGGAATGGCAGAGTGGCACAGTGTACAGGAAGCAGAGAAGAAAATGAGGAGCCAGGGAGGGAGCTAATCCATTCCAGGCTGTGTCCCCACTGATCCCCCTCTTTCAACCACATGCCACCTAACAGCACATGAGCTTTCAGCCTCCATAATCCAATCACCTTTCAAGAGCCTCACCTATGAGTGCATGAGGCTGTTGGAAGACAACTACATAGAAACCATAGCAGTCAGTTTTCTGGGCAACACCCTTTGTCTCTTGAAGCCAAAGGCGTTGTTTTGCCTTGGACCTTGCGCTAAATCACAATTTTAATTTCAAGGTAGGCATGGAAGGGGGCAGAATCCACAGATGGCTGGAGAGTCCCCTAGGAATGGCCTGCTTACTGGCTCCTTTAGTGTAAGTTGCTCTCAACAGTCTGGATTGCAGGAGGAGGTGGGTGTGGAGCAGCCAAACCTGCCAGTGCCATGACGTTTGCTGGTACCAGCATAGGTGGTCTCACCATTAGTGCATGTGTTGGTACCTAGTGCATCCAGGACAACTAGCTATAGTGTGTTAGATGTTTATTATGATTTTGGGCACTGTGCTGTGCACATTCAAGCATTAACTTAGTTCTTAAACTGCCTTTTAATATGTGTTATTATCAGTACCAGGAAATATATGAGTCACCAAACCAGTAATACACCAGGGTCTCTGTAGAACAAGTCCCCAAGCTGGGATTGAGCTGATGCTTTTGAACTCTGCCCTGACATTGTGGGCATTTAGGACCTACAGAGAAGACCTGAGGTTTCTGTGTTGCTCTGTATCTTTGGGGAGTAGAAGTTCAAGGGATGATGAAAGAAAATGCCAGTAAAGGACCACAGGGAGAGAAAGTGGGGAAGGCAATGGAGAAGACAGGTGAGTGGTCAGAAATGGTGCAGGTCTGACCCCTTTGGGGGAGAGGAAAGAAGAAACTCCCCTTGGTTAGGCTGATGGGGAGTCCAGAGCAAAGACTCCCCATAACAGTCCTGGGCTGGGTGGCAATGGCAGCTCTCCCACCCCTGTGCTCAGTGGTTGGCTGGGGTTTGGTGTCTCTAGGGTGTATCCTCAAGGCTGTGACACTGCTGCTTGTAAATGTCTCTCCTAAAGGGGTGGCTAAGCACAAGCTCTATGGCAGCTACTGGCTCTAGCCTTGAAGTGTCCACAGCCTGTTTACCAGACCACCAGGGTGTTTGGGTGGGATGTTGTGAAGACCCAATGTGGAATGTCCAATGCAACCTTCTGGTACAGATACTATTTCCTGATTGGTTGAACAGGCTGTACACTGAACACAGGTACCCCAGCATGGGGGCCAATTGGACATAGCAGGGGGTTGACGTGCAGGCACCCTCAAACCCATCCCTAATCAAGCGAAGGCCTTTGCTGTGTGGGGTCAAGCACTCAGAAGATCATCTTTTTCTAACCGGCACAAAGGTGGGGAGAGTGTAGAGGAGACTGGTAGCCTTCTCTTGAGAGAAGAGGAATTGGGCCTACCTCGAGGAGTCAAGGGCAATGGGGACAGAGCAGGGGATGGGACAGGTGGAGGCATTAAGTAGTGAAGTCTTCAGTACGAGGAAGTGAGCGGTAAACCTAGAGAGGGAGGTGATTTACAGGACCAGCGAGCCTCATCCCCTTTGACTGTTCCTGGGTTTGGTTTTCAAGGGAAGGAGACAAGACGGGGCCATTTTGGTGTTGCTGGTCAACTGTGGATATGAAAAAGTCAAGTCCAAAAGATGACAAATGCTGTGGAGGGCATGGAGAAAAGCGTGCCCTTGCATATTGTTGTTGGAGGTGTAAGTTAGCACAGCCCCATGGAACGGTTCAGGGAAGGCCCTAAAAAAGATTAAAAGTAGAGCTATCTTCTGATCCAGCAATTCAGCCTCTGGGAATACATCCAAAGGAAATGAAGTCTATCTGTTAAAGAGTTGTCTATATTTTTATATTCATTGCAGCACTAATCATACAGCCAAAGTTTTGGATTAACCTAAGTATCTATGATGGATAAATGGAGAAAGGTAATGTAGAGTGCTTTAAAAGATGAAATCTTGTCATTTCTGACAACATGAATGAACCTGGAACACATTATTTTAAGTGAAAAGAGTCAGCCACAGAGGGACAAGTACCACATGAGGTCACTTACACGTGAAATCTAAAAATGTTGAACTCGTAAACACTGATGGTAGCGATGGTGGTGATAGGGGCTGGTGAGGGGACACCGGGGAAATGTTAATCAAAGGATGCAAAATTTCAGTTAGACAGGAAGACTAAGTTCAAGAGACTTGTTGCACATTGTGTTGATTGTAGTTTGTTCATGAGTACTTTTGTTTGCATATAACTTGATTCTCAAACAGAAGCATTTGGCAAAATTTTGGTTTTGTTTGCAAACTCTGTATTGGGTGACAAACACAATTGCAGCCATCTTTCCCTCACAAACACAGTTGTGGCCATCTTTTCCAAAACTGGAACAGATTGAGTTTGTAAATGGAGGTACTTGTACTTTCACTGTACTTGAAAACTGTCAAGAGAATATATCTTAAGCATCACAAAAATTTGATATGTATGCTAGGTAATGCTTATGGTAAGTAGTTTGACTTACCCATTTTTCAGTAGATACACATATCAAAATGTCATGTTGCATACCAAAATCTATACCATTTTTGTCAATTAAAAAAAATAAAACAACTAAAATATTAAAATGATACTTGTTTGGAAGAAAAGAAGTAGACAAGCTGAGTCCTACTCAGATGTAACTGTGAAGTCCCCACTCTGTCACACCACCATATTTCCAGCCCCAGCCAGAGTGTGGTGCAGCATGAGGTGCTTGGTGGGGTTGGGAGTGATATCTGGCCCTTCTTTCCAGCTCCCACGCTCTCCTCTGTCTCTCTCACTTCCCCTCTTAGCCTGGTTGGGGACAGGGTAGCTAGCTTGACTGACTGTCTTTGATATGAGTCCTAGTAAAGGAAGAAACTGGTTGTTCTCAAACATAAGGCTATCTTTAGAGGGGGGAGCATCTGATAGCACAGTTGCACTGTGTCCTGTCCTTTGGCCACCAGGAAGGGGAGGGTGTGTGCCATGTTGGGTAGGCAAGCCATGGGAGGGGATCTGACCACAGGTAACATTGGGAACAACCCTGTGGACTCAGTAGGGGGTGGTCCCAGGTGGGTAGCAACTCTCACAGTCACAGAGATAAGCAGCTCAGCTACTCCTATTCCTCTGCTTGGCACTGACCATGATAGTCCTGTTGGCTGAATGCACACAAGGGGCCAACAAATGGGTATGCAAAGGGACAGTCCATTGTAATTTATTTTTCCTTCAAAACAGCAGAAGATCCCAGGACCCAACATCTCCACAGCTATTCTCCTGTAAAAGCCATCTTGAATTCTGTATGACTCAAAAGTCCTAGCATGCCTTTGAAGTAGATGGTTATGGTGACTTCCATGTCAAAGGACATTGGAGAAGTTAAGGACTTCCCAAGAGATCTGATAGGGGAGGGCAGAGTTGGGGAGTAAGTTTGTCTCTTCTGACTCCCCCTCCTCTTCTTGGTCCCTGCCATCCAGAATCTGACCCACCACACAGTCCCTCACCATTTTTAGGAATTAGCTTTCTATCACTGTGACAAAATACCTGGGAAAAACAACTTCAAGGGAGAAAATGTTTTCAGACATTTAAATCGATGGTCACTTGTCTCCATTGCTCCTGGGTGAGGCAGAACTTCATGGTGGGGACTGTGTGAATGATGCGGACAAAGACTACTTCAAGGGAATGTCCTTAGTAACCTACTTCCTCCAGCTAGGTCCTGCCTCCTAAAGGTTTCACCACATCCCAATAACTCCATCATGGGACCGACCAAGCCTTCAACACACCGATCTTTGAAGACTTTTTAGATCTGCGCCATAACATTCACCAGTGTATATACAGCTCTAGTGCCGGGTGTGACTTCCATTCTGTGAGGAAATCACACCTGTGTAGGATGGCAACACCTTAGGGAATTCTGTTCCTTTGTCAGAGGGGAAGTTACAGCTTAATTCTGTGCCCCTTTTAAGAGAGTTAGCATTTGGAGGGAGGAAATTATTTTAGGCCATAAGGGAGGATACTGTTTTCAGGATGTCACTTATGGTACCAGAAAGGTAAGTGAGGCCATGGTCATCAGTCATTCCAGGGAGTCATGAAAATAGGACTCTAAGTCTCTCCACAGAGCTGTGCCTGCTGACTTGTATCTGTAATCAATAGATGCTATAATTTTGGCTCATTACTAATTCCTTGCTAAACCAATTAATCCAATTTATGGTGGCTTAATTTGGAGGAATGTGTGCTCAACTCAGGGCCTGGTAGAAACTGCCCCCATATCCACAGCATTCTTTGGGATAAGCTGCCCCTCTGTGGATGGAGAGAAGCACTGGTCAGTTCCAGGTCCTTCTCCTCCCTTCCTAGCACCCTAAACAGCAGGGTCTCTGTGTGGACTGAGCCGCAGGGTGAGGGGCAAGGGTGAGTAGGGGAAGGAAGGGAAGGAGGTGAAGAATCTGCTGACTTTTTAAATTTTAATATTTTTTCCATCAGGAATTATTAGCCGAGAAAATGCAGAAGATCTCCTGGAGAACATGACCGAGGGTGCCTTTCTGGTCCGAGTCAGTGAGAAGATCTGGGGTTACACCCTTTCCTACCGCCTGCAGAAAGGCTTCAAGCACTTCCTTGTGGATGCATCTGGGGACTTCTACAGCTTCTTGGGAGTGGACCCCAATCGCCACGCAACCCTCACAGATCTCATTGATTTCCATAAGGTATTTCTCTTCAGCATGCAGGTCAGGCATGAAATGAGTAGAAACGTGAGAGACCAAGGAAGCACAGGAAGTGAGCGGGATCCATATCATGGGCCTCAGAATCTCAGGGATCTAGAGCACCGGGGTCGCGGGGGGGAGACCAGCGGTTTTTCAGGAGCCCACTGCCCCTCCTTGCCTCATCTTCTGACTCATTGTGCCCCTGTCACCCTGCTCTCGGGCTTCTTCTCCTTGGATTCTTGGTGCTTGGGGTTGTCAGTTCTTCCTCCAAGCCCATTCTTGGTCTCAGGAGCACCCTGTGGAGCAGGCTCTAGCCAGGTCTCTTGTAGCTTCCAGAGTTCACTCCAGCACAGTGGGCAACCCTGTTGTCAGAGCAGCTTTTCTAAGCATGGACTAAACAACTTCTCTTATCTGAACTGCAGCTTTACCACTCATTTCATGTGTGACCTTGGGAAACATCAGTAGCAACTGGGAAAAAGGCAAAGGTAAAACTCAGTGCTGCAGAAGGGAAGGGCCATGGGTGTTAGCTGCTCAGGGCTCCACCGTCTGCCCGAGCTCTGCAGGCATAGAAAGGGCCACAGAATCACCAGGCCATCTCACTGAGCTTTGATACAATAGGGCCTCTTGGATTTGTGTTGCTTTCGCTTCATCCCTTCATGGCTGTACCTGGAACAGGAGAGATATGTAGCATATAACTTGGTCTTATGATCAAAGCGCACAGCAAGCCACTCATCACAAATATCTGTACATTGAGTATAGAGTGCTGCCCAGAAAACATGACTAACTGGGAAGAGGGCAGATCTCTACTTGTGTCAAGAACCAGAGGAAAGAGGGAAGGGAGGGAATGTGTGGATGCTGCACCCTTTTCTGAATCGAGCCTCCAGCCTTTTGTCTCATCCACTCCCTCCATTACTCCTCACACAGCCCTGCAGGGGATGTACATGAGCTCCAGTGCCGAAAACCAAGGCCAAGGCGGCTGAGGAAGTTGGTTGAACTCTCCCAGCTGGTGCCACCTGGGTCCAGGAGTTAAGCACTAGGCTGTGTGCCTCTAAAGCCTGTACTTTTCCCAATAAATCCCAAGATTTGTTTGTCCTGACCAATATGAGCTACTCTACCAGCAAGGAGTGCCTTGTCCCTTTGTTTCAAGCAAAGTGTAAATGCCCATCTCTCATGGGAATTTTCTGAACAACAGCGCTGGACCAGCTATCTTTGAAGGTCTTTATTCTCTTCCCAATCTAAACTTTTGAGATTGACAATACAAATAGATATTAACTATGACATGGGCATCTGGATCTGTATAAATTAAAAATTTAATTACACAATTCATTCATGATTACATTTTAAGAAAAATCAAATGCAATACAAAATGAAAGCCTCATTAATTTCAAATCTTTGCTTTTATACTCAGAATGAATCACAGTTTTGCACACACTTATCCATGATTTCCTGGGTAGTCACATCAAAACTGTGTTCTTAGGAAAATACATAGTTTTAATATTTTTCACAGAAATTGGTTAGTTCTTCATATACATCTCAGCAACTTGATTTTCAAAAGAATACCCTGAATACATCTTACAGCATCATATTTAAAAGCATCATCCCTGGAATCAAAGTACTGAGTTTACATTCCAGCTTCATTGCTGTGTGTGACTTTGGGCAGTTACTTTTGTGCCTTTATTCCCTCCTCAGTAAGAGGGTTTGATAATAGCACTTACCTATTAGGGGTATGGTGAGGTATCAGCAAGGCCTCAGTATGTAAGACAGTATGCCCAACACTTACAACTTATCAGACTGTGTTGGCTGCTATTAAAATATGTTGATGAGATCTTTGGTGTCAGTACATGCACCATCCTGGTAAATGCCCCATGGTATTCCACTGTATGGATGCATGTTACAGTTTAATCACCTGCTGTCTTCTTACATCTACTTACCCACATTCTGGGTTTTCATCGTCATGAACACTACTGCAGAGACTACTGTACTATGTATATGTCACCATGTCACTATGGATACATGCTGAGTATCCCCGGAACTGGAATTGCTGGAGAGAAAAGTATGCACATTTTAATTAGAAAAGATCTGCCAGATTGCCTTCCAAAACATGGTGCCAATTCATGTTCCTGCCAAAACTGCATGAGGCTGATTCCCTACACCGTGCCAACACTAGGAATTCTCAATCATTTAATTTCCCCATCAGATAGGCTGACACTGTATCTCCCTATTGTTTGGTTTGCATTTCTCTGATTACCGCAATGCTGAGGATTTTTTTTTTCATGCACTTAATGGCCCCCTGGATTTCTTCGTCTGTGATTCATCTATCTGTTCATATCCTTTGTCTATTTTTCTATTTAGATGTCTCTTTCTTATTGATGCCACAATTCCTTCAGCTGCTAAATTGCTCTTTAGTTATGTCCTTTCTGCTTTTCAGTTCTACTGACATTTTTCTTTTTAATTTAACTGGTCATGGTTTTCATTTGCAGATCCATTTTTTAAAAATAATAGCCCATTCTTGTTTCATGGATGACTTATCTTATTCCACTGAGAAAGTTAATACACATCTCTTAAAGTCTCCTTCGGTTTGTTTTTATAAACTTGATAATTTCTCAGGAATCAGTTCTGTTACTGAGTTTGGCATCTTGCTTTTATAGTTCTGGTTGTTCTCAAATATTTATAAATTTTGGGCTCTGAGGTGAATTTTCAACTTTAAGTTTCCTGTTTATTCATGAGGGGACACATTTCTTTTTCCCAAATCAATTCTTTCTATATTATAGTTGACAGTGGGCAACTCATCTTTTGGATCTCTTTGGCCTCCACTGAAACTGTTTGCTTCTCTTTTTTTTGATCTGCCTGAGACAAGTGCCTGTCTGGAGTTTTGCCCTCAGGCTGTCCAGACTTGCGCTGGTCCTTGTCCCACCCAGAATCCATGGAAAATCTCATCCTGTGGGCATTTGTTTTACAATGATTGTTCAACATTTTACTTTGTTGATGGTCATCCCTTTTATTTCCCAGTACTTTAACATTTATGTCTTCTTAAAGCCAGATTTTTCACTGTTGTTTCTAAAAGTTAGAAAGAGGGAAGCAGACATATAGTCTTAGTCTTTCTGTTTTGAACCAGTTTCTTTTTGATGAGTATCTAGAGTCCTTTCTTGGTTATAAGTACGTTTTTTCTTTTTTCCCCCCCTTTTAGGAGGAAATTATCACTGTTTCTGGGGGAGAGTTGCTGCAGGAACCCTGTGGACAGAGGGACAGCCCACCAGACTACCACCTATTGTTTGAATGATAGCTTTTCTCTTCATCAATTGGGTTTCTTGGGATACTTTTTAAAAAATTTAAACCCAGCTTAAAAACTTCCCAACTCAAATCCCTATCGCCTTCATCAAGACACACCACAACCTAGAGGCACAAATGGATTAGTATATCTTAAACGATACAAAATACGTGGCATTTATACTACTCGTCCCATCTCTGTGTTGGGGCCAAAAATTGGTAGTGGCCGATGCAACCTGTTTTGTGGAGAATTTATCTATGACCCCAAAAGATGAAGCCTATTTGTCATGGCTGCCTTGAATCACACTCCCAGAGTGCAGGGACCATGTCTTGATAATTTAGAATAATTCTAGTGCTAAACCCTGAATCTAACACATGGCAGACTTTCAATAAACATTCGTTGAGAAAATGCAGTTCTTCTGAAAGTTTTCCAACATGAACCTGCAATAATTATTTCTGAATTCTCACACTTTATAAAGCCATAGAAGTAACAAGAAGAATTGCACAAGATTTAGATGATGAACACAGATGTGAAATTCTTCCTGATGTTCATCACGCTCATTGATATTTTCACTGGAATACCTGAGGCTTCTAAACCCCAGCTTTTGGGACAGGTGACAGATTCTGCACTACCTTCCTTCTTTAATTTCTCTTCTTCCACCACCCTCTGTCTTTGAGTCATATTTTAGCTCTGGTTTTGCAATATTAAAGCAGCGATCTTAATTATTCCTGCAGATGTGCCCAAGACCTAGAGTGAATTATTAATCCAGGAATGGGGTTTAGGCAAATAAAAAGGCCTGTGCTCTCTAGGAGGCTGCCTACATGAATTAACTCAAATAATCAGCCCTATCCTCAATGCTCTTTTGATTTTGATTCTACTGTGTCCACTTTATCTGAATATATTCTTCATATTAACAAGAAAACTCACCCAGTGATACCTCAGTAACTCAGAGATGGTGTCTATTTGTTCCACATGGCCATAGACAAAGAGATGGAAGATTGCGATAGGACAATTGCAGGCCCTAGGGTCAAGAAGACCTGGGTTAAGATCCACAACTCATTACCTTGAAACTCAGTGCTCGGTGGCCATACAAAGACAAATGGACTCTGAGGACATCAGGGCTGGTTAACCTTTCTTAGTAGCTGAATCAAACCTCTCTTATGCTTTACTTCCCTTCTTGCCTCACCTGTTCCTCACATCCTTGGCCACTTGTTTCCCTAGCCACTGTCACTGGAACCAGTTTTGCATGGGCTGTGGTCTTTCTCATTCTGTTTTTGTTTTTGTTTTGTTTTTTTTGTATAAGGAGTCGAACTCAGGGCATTGTGCTTGCGAGGCAGTTGCTGTTCCTCTGCGCTACATCCCCGGTCCTCTTTCTCACTCTTTTGATCATCCTCAGGGGAGTGTACAGCAGTGGAGCTTTTCCACATGTGGTGCTATGGGCTCCGCATCTCCAGTTGCTGTGATACAGAAGAGCTGAGAAGTCGGTGGCCGTGCAGTGAGCCCTAGCTCAAAGGAGTCCAAGGCTGGTGAATCAGTCCTACTCTCTTTTTCCTCCTAGAAGGACTGTTTGGAGAGGTACTGTATCATACAGCCCTTATGGGACAGTTCTGCAGGATGGAGCAACCAGTGACAGTGACACTAAGCAGGGGTCAGATCTGGTGATTCCCCACCCCCTCTTGCTCTTTCTCTTTCTTGGCCTCACCTCATCTCCACCTGTGTCTCTGGGATTGCTCTTGGGAACCAAGCAATAGCCCAGAAGCAATAGGCACAGGCTCTGCCCTTTGGGGACCCACGGGAAATCCCCATGATACACGTGTTTAACAACATCAACTTTGCAATTCAGATCCAGAACTTCCCTCCCTGTCTCCCTGGATGGATGAAATGAAGCAACAGAAGGACTCTGGCTTCTGAGCACTACAGTACTTTAAAACCATAGCCAAGTATTATCAAAATCACCCTATATCTATGAGGACTCACCAAAACGAATTTTTAAAAATTTTATTTTGGCTCTGCTATGTATCAAACTGAAATTGTCGAAGTCATTTAATCTTGCAAAATCCCTGTATAATGTGGCAGAAAATTTTCTGTATGACTGTCATTAATTTTTTTGGCAGCTCTGTTAAATGGAATTACAGAAACTGTCCAAAGGAAAGGTGCTGCTCATCATAACTGCAAACAGAGACAACTTTGTGCTGAGTGGTGATGTGTCGGGGACCTGATGTGATTTTTGACAAGTCAAAAGAAGCTTCCATCAGTAGCATTGAAAGCAGACCAAGATGGGTTGAGAACCTGAATCCCCAGCCTGTTGTTGCTGTCACCCCCTAATTAATATGTGAGAGAGAGCAGCCAAGCTTTCCATCCCTAATACACGCATTTCATTTTATTTGGGGCCTGCACTTTCTGCATGTCTCATATATTTTAGGTTTTTACCTGGTGTTAAAATAAATTCCTTGTAAGTTGTCCTGCAAATGAAATTACTGTCTGGAAAACTGCAATTTCATCCTGAGAGTTTTATTATGCTAATAAATGTCAGGATTCTCAAATAAAGGAATTGCCTCTTTTTGTTCCCTGAGACCTACAAATATAATGAAAAACAGTAAGCTACAACACTCAGCAGAGGGAAAATTTATAATCTATAACTAGAAAGCTAAGTTGTAAAAAACACCATGCAACTTAATGGAAGATACATTTCAGGGAATAAAAAGCCAACTTGGCTTTTTATCCGGGGAGATCCCTGAGTGACAAATCTTTTTTAGGACCATCTATCTAGAGGTTCAGGGGTTTAAATAAGGGGTGTGGACAGGGTGGGCCCCTAAAGAGAAAGGTGAGTGTGAAGATCTGGGTCTGGGGAATTTGTTCCCCTTTGGTCCCTTTGAAAATGCCCTTATTCTTAGCACTGACTTGGAATCCCCGATGAGTTTCTGCATCTCTGGACCATAGTTTTTTGGGAAATGGGGTAAGCATTGACAGTTTCTGAAGATGACTGTGAAAATGGCATAAAAGTTGGTGATAATGACAAATCTTTTTGTGTGAATTCTCACAACCAGGCTTGAATTCTCACAACCAGGCTTGAAGAAGGCAATGTTGTAATTTCCATCTTGTACAAGGGGAAACGGAGGCACAGAAAACTTCACATCTTTTGAAACTCACTTCTTTGGGAAGGGACAGCACAGAGATTGGTCACAAAATGGCTTGTGTGTCCATGTGATCCTTAAATTGATGCTTCTTTGATGTGTCAGCTAAACCACTGGTGATGTTAGAAATGCAGATTCTCCTGGTAATGTCTGAGGTTGGGCCCAAGATTCTGAATTTCTAACCAACTCCTCTCGCACCCTTCCCCAATGCTGGTGGACTGTAGGTAATGCCTTGAGATGACAACTTTTTTTTCCAGCTTTAATTGAGTTTATTGGTACATTTTAGGGAAACAGTACAGTCACATTCATTGTTGGGATCTTGTACCTCTACATGACAGGTCTTGGTTCTCATTTTTTCCCCTTGTTCCTGCCCTCCCTTCACCCCCCTCCTCCCATCCCCATCTATAAAACTTTATTTCTATCTTTTCATTATTTCACATTTTTTTCTTTTCCCTTATTACCCTTCCCCTACCCATCCCACCTTCCCTACACCTTTAACCCCTGAGATGACAACTTTTAAAACAGGGTTGGTTCAGGCCAATAACATGTCAATAATAAGTCAGTACATATCAGTTATATACAGCAATGGCCTCAACTCACCAATAAAGAGAAATAGACTGGCAAAATGGAATAAGAAGCAAAATCCAATAATATGTTGTATACAAGAAACACAGTGCAAAAAGAAGCCCATAGACTGAAAGTGAAAAGATAGAAAACAATTCTACATGTGACAGGAGCCCAGAAAAAAACAGCGGTAGCAATCTTATTTGCAGACAAAGTAAATTTTAAAACCAAAACTGAATCTAGTATTATTGATGTAGGACAGTACTGTATCATACCTCTATGAATGTAAAATATCTAGTACCTGCTTTATGATACATAGTAGGGACCGTGCTTTATCAGAGCTACATTTAATGATATTACTCTAGAATGTTCTCTTTCCAGATGATGATTAAGAGGCTAATAGAAAAAATGGTGCCAGGTACCACAACAGCAACAGAACTTTGCTGTTGTCTGGATATTATTCTTTTCTTTGTTTTTTTTTTTCTTTTAATGGAATGTGCTGAATGTCTATAATTTTGTTCCGATGACTGCAGAACCTGGAAAAGCTGTTGCTGCTATCGATGCATAACATACTATTATTAGTCTTTATATATATAAATTGAATTTTGGGAAACTTTAACGGTGCTGCCAACTTTGGAAAAAGTCATCCCAATTTACTGTGTTGACTTGGCATTGTACAGAAATGGACAACCATATTGGTCTGAAGTGTTAATTTATTTATTTTTTCCATGTGTACAGGGGTAACACATCATACTAAATATGTAAGGTTATATCTACGTGGGTTTGATTATAGAAACTAACAAAGTATTCTCTAAATAATGAAAAAAAGAATAAGATAAGATTACAAGAGCAAGAAGCAATTTAAATATGTTCAGGAACCATTTTCATCTCCAGAATTAAGGATTATTTTAATGTTACATCATTGCCTTTTCTCTTTTACTTTCCTTTTTAGTTTTATTTTAGGATTCCCTATTTTTAATGTTCATACAGAGATTTCTTTAACTGAAATACCGAATAGTTTCTTTGGTGTGAAAAACTATAATAGTACACAGGATCCTAATGAGACAATTAATAATGTGAAATAGGAAGTAAAGGGCTAAAGGTGTAGGGAAAGTGGGAAGGGTGGAGGAAAGGTAATAAGGGAGAGGAAAAAAATATATGAGAAACTGAAAAAATGGAAATAAAGTGTTTGTAAATGGGGAGGGGAGGAGCGGGTGAAGGGAGGGCAGGGACAAGGGGAAAAAATGAGAATCAAGACCTATTATGTAAAGGTACAGAATCCCAATGATGAATGGAATTGTATTGTATACCTAGATTGTACCAATAACCTCAATAAAAAGAAAAAAAAAACAGGGTTTGTTGAGAAATTATAGCTGCAGGTCAAATTTGGCCTCTTGCTGTGTTTCCATAGTTATAA